AGTAGTTTGTATCGGTAAAACTGGTAATGAATTTCTCAAACTATACCTATTATAGTTTGTTTGAAAAATTATGTTCTTGGTTCGTGATTTGTTCTGAAAACTATGCAATTATGATTTGAAAGTGTCCCTTATGCTCTGCATAATACAAAAGGGGTAAAATATCTATACATTTTATGAAAATCGTTGGATTGTATCAATTGCATAAGTTTTAAATTTGTTGAAAACCTTTTTGTCTTAGTTCACAAATTCATTTGTGTTTGGCTTGTACCCCCTTAAAATGTTTAAAAGCCATAAAAGCGTAGGGGTATGAACTCACCGTTAGTTGTGTGAAAATGCCGACTGGAAACGAAGATCTTCAAGTGGTTGTACGTGGCACTTAACGGAATCCTAATAACAATTAAATACATATATGTATCTAAATTAGCGATTTCATTAGATAAAGTGTTAGAAAAACACTTGCTTTCGGTTAAGGATGTTACTAGGACTAGATTGAATCGACAAAACAAGTTTTTCACCACTAAGGAGGTGTGTACGGCCGAGAATGGAGTTTATGGACGAATAGGCAGTTTACATCTGTATACGGGTGTACGGTCGTGAACTCCCCTTTGAAGGGTTTACGGTCCTTTGCAGGTTTGAAGGGTGTACGGCCGTACACTCAAGAACAAGGGTGCTGGTTTTGACAAGAAAACGTGTTCTAGGTGCTCCAAATGGCGATTTTTGATGATTTTATGAAGAAAAGATGTGTTTTTAGTGTGTACGGTCAGGGGTTCTAGAGAGAGAATGAGAAAGTTTTCGGTTAAGAGTGTTCAAATGAGGGTGGGGGTCCTGTATTTATAGGCTGGGGGTATGGTCGGTGGTGGGGTCCACGTGACACCAACCGTGAACGGGTGTGCGGTCGTACACTCACTTAGGCCGAAAACTGCTAGATTTTTGAGACATTTCGTATTTTTCGCATGATTTTGATTCCGACTCTTATATAATTTTAATTATATATAAAGCGTAATAGTTCTGCCAAACCAAGGAGCTTGGCGGAATTCCAATAATATTCAAATTTTATTAACGGAAATCGGTTAACTGATTACAGAAAAAGTTTCGGGTTGTCACAACAACGATAAAAAAAAACGCATATTTCCAAATCAAATTTCCAATTTCAGTCAAACTTTCTTAAAACTTGACTTTTTCTGTTCTTTTGCTTTGACTTCAACATATAAAAATCGATTTCAATCACAAATTTGATTTCAACTCGAACTCTCGTACACTATGAACGCTTTTAGATCATCGTAAAATATATTCTTCATTTGGATTTCATCCAATCATCGAATCCATCAAGTTGAAGCATTAAACATTGAATCGAGTCTAATAATCAATTGCATCTGATTAAACACTTCTTTTATGTTCATCAATCGCAAATTAATTCGATTATCATTCCGTTAGACTACAAAAAAAAAAAAGCGAACCAATGATTTGTCCACAAAATTGATGTGAGAACGAAGAATGAACAAAAACGAGAAACTGACATTAGTCTGATAATCGATCAAAGACATATTTTTAATCAATTCGAATTTTCTTTTGAATAAAAAAAACTGTGAATAGTAATAGATATAATATTTGGGCTCAAATTTGGATTCAATGAACAATGATCATGTCTTGGGCTACAACAAATCATGAACAATAACAAATACACTATTTTGGAATTGGTCTCAAACTAGTTTGATGAACAACAATTTCAAAAGAAAAAAATTATGAAAATGTGATTTTGATTTTTGGAATTTTGATCTAACTAAAATTAATTGTATCAATCAATGTGGTTGAAACGGATTTGATCCAATGAGGCAAATTGATCAAAAATGAAAAACGAAAAGCACGAATCAAACTCATGGACGTTTTGGAATCCATTTGAGAATTTGAGATACCTTTTTGACGAATCAAGTTCCATTTTCAACGAACGAATCAAGTTTAGAAGATCTTGGTTCTTTTTTTTTTTGTAACGAGAAAATCTCCAATTTTAACATTGTACCATCGATGATGCGTGTTGTACAACTCGTTCTTCGTGTTCTTCAACGATCGAAGAACATCTTCATAAGAACCACCAACACTTTTGGGGTTTGACTTCAAATTCAATGCAACACTTGAAGATTGTTGCTTTGGAACCCAAATTTGCTTCACGGATTTCAACTTCACAACATTTGATGATTTTTGTGAATAAACCTGCTTGTTTTTGCGTTTAATCTTCTTCTTTTTCTTTATCATCTTTTTGCATCTTGAATATTTGATTTCATGAACAAACCCACTTTCTACAACTTCAACTTTGCGAGTTTGAATCAAATCTTTTGGAGTTTGATATTTGTGAATTTCTTGGATAACTGACTTTCGATAAGGAATCATTCCTTCAAACGAATCACAAGAACACAAAATACCATCAGTTTGAACTCCAATTGAGCAAAAAAAAAAATCATCTTCATGAGAATCAACTTGAATCTTCTTATCATGAACTTCAAGAGCATCAAGAACATCACATTGAACTCCATTGTCTTGAGCTTCAACAAACTTAAGAGCACGAATATCATTTGAGTTTTCAGTTAGAGAGATGTATTTCTTATTAAACAAATCTATTTCTTCTCATTCGTTTTGATTTCTACTACAGACTAATATGAAAAAGGCAATTTTATTCAACCATACAATCTTACACAATGGTTGAAAAATCAAGCTTCCGTTATCATCCTTCAAATCTCCATAAGAAACCATATTACCCCATGAAATCAATTTGCTTAATAACAACTCATAAAGCTGATTTTCGTTGACTTTGTATTTGACATCTTTAACGATCACAACCTAAGAATCATACGACAAATCCACCATGATCATAAGAATTTTAAAATTTCTAGAGAGAGAAAGTGATTTTAATGGGTTTTCTCGAGAGAGAAAGTAAAAAAGCACCTGAATTCTAGTGAAAAAAATCGAATTATGAATATAATCAAAGATGAATTCGATTTCTAGAATCCAAAATCTCTCTAAATCATAAAGATCAAAGATCAAAAAATGAAGCACCAAATCAAGAAAGCCACCATGGATCAATTCTTGATCCAATCAAGAACACTCGCTCTGATATCAATTGATGTGAATTATGAACATTGGTTTGACATGCAGAATTAAAGAACAAACAAAGAACACGGTGATTTCAATATTTAAGATATGCATTCGATTATGAAAGGTGTTACAAAAAGGATCTAGATCTAAATCTACATAATTAACACACACTAACACTCTCAATGTTATATCTCTCAAGCACACCTCTACAAGTGGTATGAACCCACCTTATATATATATATATATATATATATATGTGTGTGTGTGTGTGTGTGTATGTGTGTGTATATATATATATATATATATATATATATATATATATATATATATATATCATGTCACAAGGATACTTTACAACATGCAAGTGGGTCTACAAAAGTCAAACTATTTACAAAGTCATACATAGATCACTTTGTACCCAACATCCCCTCCTCAAAGTTAGGAATGGATGACTTGCTTCAAATCTTCCAAACTCGAGCAACTTCACAAACCGAGCCTCAAACGTGACACATGTAGAGATGAACATCAAATCTTCAATTCTTCCATGATTCTTCAATTTGGGTTCTAGAATGTAGAGATGATTCTTCCATGAATATCATATGAACTGTCGTCGACACCAAGAACTCCAATCCAAGCAATTTTGAAATTAACCACCAAATTAAACATGATTTCGACATTCATATCCCAAAAATAACTTGTACAAGCCAATTTCACATTTTAATTCAACGAATCAACACATAGAAATTGAGTTTGACTTTTTCTAGGTTTGACTTTTCGAAGTCAAATATCAATAAACACGAAATTGACGATTCTAATGTCCAATTTATGATCAAAAAGTGTTCAATAAGCTGCTCTTCATCATATCCACGAGTTCTTGACCAAGATCATCAAGATCAAAGAACCAATTTTCGATATCTAAACCTCATATTGAATAGAATCAATTTTGTTATTGAACAAACTATATGAAAATCGATTCCCACTCTCATATTATCGATAAACAATAATCGAGTATTAATAGTAATGAAACGAATTTGGAACTCGAGAACATCGATAATAATGAAAGCAAGAACGTACAAGTCGGCTATGCGCATTATGATGAACGAACACAACTACAATATATCACTCAAATTTAATAATCTTTAGGATCATTGTTGTAAGATATAAAATTATGGGCTCAAAACTTAAACATGAATAATAATGGATATCAAATTTTGGGCTCAAGAGATAAATCACTCGAATAAAATGATTTTGGCAAAAAAAAAAAAGACTCGATGAGCATGAACAATTCTAAATTCTAAAATGAATCAAAAGGATTTCTGGATAAAATCTTGATTTAAACAAACAATTTCAATTTTAGAATCGAATCGAACAAAAGAATATGAGATTGGATCAGACCTTGATCAACAAAAAATTATTGGATCATAACAAGTGGGTTTTTCAAAACAAAATTGATCCAACGAGTCAAAATGATCAAAAATTCAAGAACGCAACACACAAATCAACGAGATTTAGAGAGATTATAGAGAGACTCACCATAAATACTCCAATTATGATGATTGTAGCAAAACCGAGAACCGTTTCTTCAAAAATCATGTTGATCTTCGAAGACCCGCTCTGATACCAATTGATGTGGTGTTGATGATGATGACATGTGCGAAATAAGAAAAGATCTAGTGAATCATCATACAAACTCAAGATCACAAGGAGTAAATAAATCTTTTTAAGCTTATATTACATTTAGAAAAAGTATACAAAGTGGGTCTTGTACAATTTCTCTCTCTAATCTAACACTCCAAATGGTTCTCTTACATAAATGACTGTCACTCACTTCCTATTTCTAGGAAAGACAACTCATCACACAATACAAGTGTTGAAAGCACAAATACATCCAAACGTGACTTTGAACCCTAACAATGTCATACGAAAGTGAAAATACCGAAGGTGCATCTAGTGATGAACAAGATGTCCCACCCTTCTTCCAATTCTTGTCGGAGACAAAAATATCACCGCTGGTTTCCGATGACATGGAAGATCAGTTGGGTGAGTAACTATTTTATTGAAGTGTAACCGGGTATCGTGATCCTTTCAAAACAAGGAGGAAGATTGAAATCATAATAGACGAAGAAGGATGGGGATTTTAATCAAAGAATGGTGCTTGTGTATTTTTTCTTCTCGGGATTTGCAAAGGGTTCAAGAAACCTAATTTCGTCCTTTCATCATTTATATGTTATATCATAGATAACAGATTTGCAGAGGATTCAATCTATGATGGAGTATGTATGTGCATATGTTTGATTTTCTACAAGGTATAGGAAGAAAACGATGGGATGATAGAGATAGATAGATAGATAGATATAGATAGATAGATTATATAGATAGATAGATAGATAGATAGATAGATAGATAGATAGATATATATATATAGAGAGAGAGATACCAGTGGGTGGGTGGGCCCTTTTTATATTTTTCTTTGATTTTTTTTAAATTAACAAAGTATAAAAATAAAAACAAAAAACAGTAAAAACACTAAAAAGGCAAAAATGTCATTTAAGTTTACCAGGGACTAAAAACACGGAAAAACCTTGATTTTGAACCTTCTATGCAAGTAGAAATGTTTTTGGACCCCATCCAAAGTTTTTTTAATACCACAAGGACCAATTTTGTAGTTTTGTCTTAGTGTAACTTATTACTAAAATCCATCTCTTTTTGCGTATAATACCTTAGACATAGAAAGTTAAATTATAGCATATAATTGAAAAACATGTAATAATTTCGGGTTGGGTTGGTTTCAAATCCAAGGGGTTGGGTCAATTTGAGGTAGTAAAACCGAACCCAAGACCCATTTTTTGGTTTTGAAAAATTTAAACCCAAACCCGACAATTTAGGTTTGGTTTCTGAGTGTCGGTTTTTGGGTTTTTGAGTTCGGTTTTGCTCACTATAGATTAAACTGACATATAAAATCCCTACATACAACGATAACCTACTCTAATAGTAAGAAGATTACCCCCGCCTCGTAACTTGTTACTTTCTTTCGTAAAATTTAAAAAGTTTGTGCTCTTTAATGTTTACATGTAAGTCACGTCTTTTAATTCTAAAATATGAAATAAGAAAAGATATTGATATATATATATATATATATATATATATATATATATATATATATATATATATATATATATATATATAGGGTCAGGTTCATTTGAGACCATTCTAATTTTGTAAGACCGTAAGACCAAATCTAAAAATAATTTTAAAATGCAAAATAAATGGAAAATCCAAAAATTCTTTTTTTAAATATTATTTTCGGAACGTGAATTAACTAAAAAAAATAAAAAAAAATAAAAAAAATTCCGTTTTTTTTTTGAAAAATAAGTGAAATATTTTAATAGAATATTACACTGACATATTCTAAAAAATAATTTTAAAATGCAGAATAAATGGAAAAATCCAAAAATTCTTTTTTTAAATATTATTTTCGGAACTTGAATTAACTAAAAAAAAAAAAATTTCCATTTTTTTTGAAAAATACGTGAAATATTCTAATAGAATATTACACTAACATATTTTAAAAAATAATTTTAAAATGCAAAATAAATGGAAAAATCCAAAAATTCTTTGTTTAAATACTATTTTCGGAACTTGAATTAACTAAAAAAAATAATAAAAAAAAAATTAAAAAAATGCGTCTCACGGTCTCACAAAATTAGGCCGTCTCACATGAACCTAACCATATATATATATATATATATATATATATATATATATATTTAAAAAAAGAATTTTTTGATTTTTTCCATTTATTTTGCATTTTAAAATTATTTTTAGAATATGTACAGTGTAATATTTTATTTATAATATTTCACGTATTTTTCAAAATAAAAAAGGATTTTATTTTTATTTTTTTTAGTTAATTCAAGTTCCGAAAATTATATTAAAAAAAAGAATTTTTATATTTTTCCATTTATTTTGCATTTTAAAATTATTTTTTAGAATATGTCAGTGTAATATTCTATTTAGAATATTTCGCGTATTTTTCAAAAAAAAAAACGAGATTTTTTTTTATTTTTTATTTTTTTTAGTTAATTCAAGTTCCGAAAATAATATTTAAAAAAAGAATCTTTGGATTTTTCCATTTATTTTGCATTTTAAAATTATTTTTAGATTTTGTCTCACGATCTCATAAAATTAGAATGATTTTAAATGAACCTGAACCAATAAATATATATATATATATATATATATATATATATATATATATATATATATATATATATATATATATATATATATATATGCAAATTACAAAAAAAACATAAAAAAACATTTTTTTAATATTATCATTATTATTATTAGGAGCAGTTTGCTTAGGGCCGTTGTGGTGGCGTTTGTTTTCAAAATGTTGGTTGAAAATGAAGTTTATCTGGAAATATCGGTTTTCAAAATAACTTTTAATTTTGATCATATGTAATTAATTTTTTTTTGTTTAGTATATATGGTCTGATTTGTTAAAATTGTTCATACACTAGCTTTGTAACTTGCTCCAGCTGTGGCAAAATATAATATGTTCAAAACTTCAATAAATTAAATAATATATATCTATATGATGTATAAAATAAATTAAATACGAACAAAATCAATTATCAGCCTTTTGAGTACTTTCTTTAAATATTACCTATTGAGCCATTCCCTCAAGCAACTAAAATACCATTGATACAAATATCCGATCAAACTAAATCAAATATTTTTATGAGAAAATTACACGAATGATCCCTATGGTTTAGGATAATTTGTACGTTTGGTTCATAATTTATTTTTTTTAATTCGGAAAATCCCTACTATTTTGTTTTTGTTATATTGTCATTGTGTTACCTAAAAAGACTATTTTATTATTGATTTTTTAAATTTATTTAAATAAACACAACAATCCCAACCCCATCCCCTCACCTTATCTTATTTACGAATTATTTTTTCATCTTTATATAATAATATTTTTAGGTAAGACAAGGATTAAATATTTAATAAAAACAAACAGTAGGGACCAAACGTATAATAAAAACAAACCGTAGAGATCTTCCGAGTTAAAAAATTAGTTAGAGACCAAACATTCAAATTTGCTCAAACCATAGGGACCACTTGTGTAACTTACTCTATTTTTACATAATTCGTGACTAAAATAAATTAGTATATGATTTGATGCAATGTCATAATCGACCATAAAGATTATGTACTATTTATTTTGTACATACCCGTTCATAATACACCGATGTCGATGCAAACCGTCAATTTCGAATTCAATTTTTGATTGATGCCAAAATATGACTGTTTGATTGAATTAGATTACATATCAAAATAAATAATATCTATGATTTGATTTCCCATTAATTAAATCAAAATTTGTGTATAGTAACTATAGATCAAGACGGATAGTTTACGTGACAGGTTTGGGAAGAAATATGTCACCAATGTCATAAATAAAACTTGAATCCTTCTTAATCTCAACGAAGAAAGAAAACATTTAGTTTACATGATAAAAAAAATATAGAAGTACTTGTGTTTATATCGATCCACTTAAAAATTAGATTTTTAAGTTTTATGTTTCTAGCTTTATTATGATGTTCATTTTAATTATAATTGAAAATATAAAAATCAAAATACCTTATTTTTATAATGATGATTGATGAATCAAAACCATAAATAAAAACATGAGCAACATAAATAAATATTTATTATATTTACGAACCAAACTTCTAAAATGTAGACATTTTTTGTGGTTTTAATTTTGGGGGTGTTTGTTTCAGCTTATTTTTCAAGTTTATTTTTTTATCTATAATTTTTTGTAGACTCAGTCCATCTGTGATTTTGCATCTATCTACGATTTCCCATTTTTTAAGGGTATAAAAACGTAATTTTTTATTTCATTTTTTTAAATTTTTTGTTGGAGAACTCTATCTAGAGGCATTATGGATGATTTTATTTTTCAAACTTTTTGTTGGAGAAATCATTTTACTAGAGAGGTTTTAAACAAAATTTTCAAAAAAATAAGAACTAAAATGATAATTTTTTACAAAACTTTATATATAATAAAGTTGTTTCGTAGTTAATCCCTATCAATTTCATAGTAAAAAAAACAAAAAAAATATAAAAAATCGCAAAATTACAGATGAAATTATTTCATCTAAAAATACTAAAAAAAACAATTTCATAGTAAAAAGAACTAAAAAAAAATATAAAAAATCGCAAAATCGCAGATGAAATTATTTCATCTGAAAATACTAAAAAAAAACCACCTGCGAACCTAAAAGTTACTAACAGGTACCCTTACTTTAACCATTTGTATGTTAGGAAATTGAATATATTTAATTTAATTTTAATCAACTAATCAAGGAAGTAGACTATTTTTGTAAAGAAACACCTAGACCCCTTTGTGATGTTTTTTTTGGGTTCGTTTAATTTCATTTCCTTCGTGACAAGGAAGGTGTAAAGACTTGTTTCCGTTAACCCAGAAGGTACCGAGCTTCTCGTTGTCGGTTTGGAGTTCATTCGATCTCTGTCTCCAAATTCGTATGCTAGCCCTCTTTAATTTTTGATGTGTTTCTTTCAATTATATGGATTTAGTACTCGTTATTCACGGTAGCAATAATAATTCTCTAAGCTTTTCATGGTGCACACCTAGTGTTTGTAAAAATGCCTCTAACAGCTTATCGTCGCTTGCCCAAGGAATTGAACTTATCTAAGCTTAAATCATTGATTTCCGATACTTAGACATGAATGCTTCTTAGATCAACTGAATTAGTAATCATTATTCACGCTACCAAGATAAATTCTCCATGTTTTTCATGGTGCACACCACCTGTTTGTAGAAATGCCTCTAACAACTTATCATCCCTCACCCACGGAATTGAACTTATCTAGCTTAAACGATTGATTTCCGATACATATTCACAATCCTATCAGCACAATCTTGGTTTCAGGTTGTTTGAAAATGCTGAAGTCATTGGTTTTAAGATCTCGTTCTACACAAAACATTCTCAATCATATGCAATTCATTCAACAGGTATCACTACATATACTCTCCATACCCCAAAACAATGCAACATCTTGACACTGACATATAAATTAACACGTAATACTGTTTCACCATCACCATTGATATAATAATGTCTAAAATGCCCTTATGCAAAATGCAGCGAGGACTCCACAGTAGAAATAAAATGGCAATGGAGTACATTGCAAAAGGATGGAATGCACTTAAGGAGGTTGATAGAGTGATTGACTATTGTGAACCCAGAGATAAACGACTCATCCCTCACCTTAACACTGCAAAAGATAATTTTGAAATGGCTCTAGAAGTTGATAACTCAAACACCCATGCCAGATATTGGTTATCCAGATTGCACCTTAAATACCATGTCCCTGGTCAATGTAAAGCCATGTAAGCAACCACTTTAAATTTACTATCTCTAATATAAATATATAGAATATAAAATAATAATTTCTTGATTTTGCAACAGAGGAGCTGCTTTATTGGTGGAAGCTGCAAATATGGGTGATGCAGATGCTCAATATGAATTGGGTCGTAATTTACGAATCGAGGTTCCTTTTTTTTTTTTTTTTAAATCATCTTTTTTTAATTAACGTAATTTTTTTACCATAAACTAATTGATAAACAGAACGAGGGTGTTGACACGGATCAAGAAGCTTTTTATTATTTGGAGAAGGCAGCAGACCAGGTTTGTCACTACGACATAGTTATTAATTACCAATTTTTTTTTTTTTTAAAAAAAATATATATTTTAGTTTAGAACTTAATTGGGTTTTGACGTGTAAAAATGTTTTAGTTGCAACCGGATGCTCTATACCTTCTGGGAGCTGTCTATTTAACAGGTGATTGTGTTAAGAAAGATGTTGCCTCAGCAATATGGTGTTTTCATAGAGCTTCAGAGAAGGTAATTAAAATGTACCCATATTTACCTCAAAAGTCAAAACTATAATTTTTTTTTTTTTTTTTACATATGTGTAGGATCATGCTGGGGCAGCAATTGCATATGGATCCCTTCTTCTTAGAGGTATCCCCCATTTAAAGTTATGTGAGAAAGAATCAAAATTCATATGGATTTTTTTTTTTTTTTTGAACAGGTTATGAAGTTCCTACATCTCTAACAAAGTTTAATCTAATAAAAAATGGGAGGAAACTAAGGAAGAAAACATGTGAAGCTAATCCAATCCAATTGGCAAGAGAACAATTTGAAAATGCTGCAAGATTAGGAAGTGATCTTGGATTCAGATGGTTAAAAAGACTTGAGGAGGAAGAGAAGAGTCTCCTTGCTGCATAAAACATATGTACCTTACGCATAAACACTAGTACACGTGTTTTGGAATAAAATTTTATATTTTATATAACTGTCGTTAACTATTTGCACCGACTTGGTTCTTATGAATATGTCCAAAAGATCAGTTTACTTTTTGGGTCTTGAATTATTTAAAGATATGTTTGTTTGCAATTAAATATTTGAAGTATTGCGTTTATGGTATTATGATATGGATTAAAAAAGATTTGGAAAACATGATAATGGTTACAGCCTGCCAATACTAGGGATACAGAATTTAAAAGTCCCTTTCCAATGTTATTTTTTGTTTTTTTTTTTTTTTTAAATATATTTTTATCACAAATTGTCTGCAAATAACTTCCTGGAAGCAACAACAATAATGCATTAAGTGTTTAGTTTATAAGTTATAATATCTTTGACTAAAATAAAGCTTCATATTTTAATTACTAGTGTTTTTCTTGTTTTAAATGCTTAACAGAATCCAAATGAACCATTACTAGGTCAAAAGAAGCGAGAGGGTCAGAATGAAAATATCGTCGAAAATGACTATCCATCTAAAGTTGACTTGCGTATTGCATAGTGAAAGGAAATTGAGAACTGAATTTGAGGAGAATTGAAAGTAACAAGAAACTGGAACTTGATAACGAGATAAAATTTGTCATTCTCATTGATAAGTTTGAAGAACAAATGAAACAATGACATACGTTCCCATGTAATCTAAACCATTAGATTAGAAAAAATAAATTGACTGAAATAATGATGAGAATGACATGATTTAATTATGAAAAATAAACATAATGCAATTTCAATATAGGTACCAATTAAAACTTGCTCTTAATTTCTCAAGGAAAAAAAAATCAACATTCATAATTTATATCGATATGTTTTTTTTATATAAAATATGTTTTTTTTTTTTTTTTTTTTTTTTTTTTTAAATATCGATAACATTTGTATCGCATTAGTATTACAACAATGGGGTTATTCAAATGTAACTGACATGTAACTTTTATACCAATTCATGTGAATAACCTACAAGAGATAAATAAAAGTGGATATATAAGTTATTTATATGTAAATAATACACATGACAAGATGAATGTCTTGTTCCTCACAAGTTATATGTGAATAATACCAGATGGAATAGTTTTATTCCTATTAAAGTGAATGTCCTTAGTTGTAGGATTGTGATGGATAGGTCTCCAACTCGTTTGAATTTGTGGGATAAATGAATTACTTTGGAGTTGCTTTGCCTTGTTTATTTACAAATTGGGGAGTTTTCTAGTCATCTTTTTGCTAATTGCCCTTTAATCACATCGATTTGGTCCTGAGTGGCTCTTTGGTGGCAAGTTTCGTTGCCTTAGGTTCGGTTGGTTGATACTTTGTTATCTTGGACAGAGTCGTCTTCATTACCTATAATTTCTAAACAAATGTTTGAAGCGATTATTATATCATCTTTTTGGGTTCTTTGAAATTTTCTGAATAAGATTATTTTTGGAACGGAAAAACCAAAATATGTTATTTTTGATGACATAGTTTCTTCCTTTATTTTGGGCTTGTAATAGGCGTAAAAACTGCAAATTGTTAGATTTGTAATCGACAATTGATTGTAGCTTCCTTGTAACTTTTCTTTAGCTTCTTACTAGAGGCTTTTTTTATATATATTACTCCACAGTTCAAAAAAACATACACATGTCAAGAGAGAGTTAACATAATAATAAAATTCATATTCTGTATAAAAATGGTCCATGTGAATATCTATTTGTGTAAAAAAAATTACAAATCATGCTAGACTTGAGTTGTTTCGATAAAAATAAAGTGCCAGAGATTAAAAAAAAACAAAAAAATTGTGTTTTAACATAAATTAAAGTAGCCATTAGTAAATATTAAGGAATAAATATAAGTAATAATATCGGTCATTTGATCAAAATATATTTGTTTTTGTGTTCTCTAACTTTTTTGATATTTTTGTTTTTGAACCTCTCTTTTCTTCCTTTGTGTGTCTTTGTGTGTGTATATATATATATATATATATATATATATATATATATATATATATATATATATATATATATATATATATATATATATATATATATATATATATAAAATAAAACCCTAAAACTTTGAGAGCAAAAAAAATCACGTTCCGTTACATAAAAAATGAAAGACTTAGGGCATGTTTGTTTTATGGATTTCAAAGGAATTTGAATGTAAATTCTAATAAAAATTACTCCTATGTTTTTGATTGACAAAATCAAAGGAATTGGAACTCTTTAGATTATCTGTGGTAAGGAAATGATCATTCTTTGTCTAAAAGCAAAAAATTTAGGTTTCCTTTCATATGTTTTTATTATAAGGCAAAAATATATTCTCATCTCATCTTTATTTTAACCATAATTTCTCAATTTTAAAATATTATCATCATCTCACCAATTTTCAAAATCAAAAGTTTCTTTTTTAGCTTTCTTATACCAAACAACAACATCATTTACCATCAAAGGTCCACAAAAATCCAACGTATTTACTTAGACCATCTTCAATCCATCTCTATTTTTTTCCTCCAAAAATAGAATAAAAAATGGGGTAAATATTGTTTTATCTCCAATCCTACTCTATTTTCCCCTCATTTTTAACCATAAAAAGTATATTCCAAGTATATTTTATTATTCTAACTTACATATATTTGCAAACACACCCTCTACTAATTTAGTGTTAACAAATATATAATCTATATTTTTTTCATTACATTAATATTAAATAAACAATATTATATTTATAATACACTTATAAATAAATATTATACACGAATTTATAAAAGTATTACACAAACACACTTTTAAATAAATATTATACATACCTTTATATAAATATTAGACATACACATTTTTAAATAAGTATTATACATGCATAGATAACATATTTATGCGTTGGAATAAATTTCCCACAAATGATCAACTAACGCATTTCGTAGACTGAAGTGTGCTTCTTTATCTTTAATACGTTTATATCGAGCAAGAAATTGTTGGAATTGACTGTGTTCGTCTGTCGTCAATTCAACCTCTATCATATTTGTAATATATATTTTAATTATAAGTTTTTGTAAAATACGTTATTATTTTTTAAAATTTCAATATGTATTTAATTTTTTATATCAATTTGATGAAAAAAACAAATTTTATATTTATAATTAATTAATATAATTTAATATATAACAAAATATTATAATTATTAAATATTTTATTTAAATTATAATTAATAGGTAAAAACAAACTAAAAATGTATAAATATATAAACAGAGGGATTAAAACCGACAACACAAAGTTCATCTCCATTTTAGAATAAATGAATAGTATACCACCATATTTGATGTAATACTATTCATATCCCCCAAAATAAAGGAATAAATGGGGGAAGATTGGAGAAGAATGAGGGAGAAAATGGGGGAAAAATAGAGAATGAAAGTGAGATGGAAATACTCTTAGAGGATATAGTTTTGTACTACTTTTAATAAAAGCAAATAGTTATATCGTCTTATATTGAGAAGTATGTGTTAATATTAATAATTATATATTTATATATTGTTTTCAAAATATGAAAATTGACTGTTAACTATTATAAGATCCTGACAAAAAATAATAATAATAATAATAATAATAATAATAATAATAAGTAAATAAAATAATTATGTCTGATTTTTTGTATTAGAACTTGCATTAGCTGATATTATTGGCGATGTGAACCAATACTATTTTTTTTTTGACTTATTTATTTATGACCTTTGAATAGATAAAATGAAGTCCAACATTATGGCATAATTTCTATAGTTATTTTCCATGTTTGAGAATATAACCTATCTAATTGGGAGAATAACCATATGTCTAACCATACAAGTGTGTATCTTAGTATAAAGCTTCTAGTCTAATGGTATTTGTCATTTCTTCTTAAGGTCAAATGATCAAATCCTATGATACATGTGAAATTATGAGTAATTTAAGAGTAGTTTAAATTTATAATTTAAAAGTAGATTAAATTTGTCGTTTATAAAAGAAATGTTAGTATATGTTTTGGACATTTAGTGTTATTTATCAGGATTAACCCTTGTTTCACATATTCTCATTGACATCTTATTTCTTTATTTTTGGACTTTGGTGAAAACCTATATATTATTCATTTATTGCTTTTCATATTAACAGCTTATTGATTGTGATGTGGCTATGAACAACTTAATCACATTGCAGTTTAGTTTACTTATCAATGTATCGTTGCTTTCATTCTACGTTAAATTTATTTGAAAATGGTACGTACATGTGACACTATGCGTGTATTATTTTCCGCACATGTTATCGAAGTTGCATTTTTCACTAATGTATCATTAATGTAAGATTTTGTCATGTAACGACAATATGGAAATTAAAGTTAAAAAGGTAATCTAGAGTAGCACCAAAACAATAAATGTGTATCACATGTCATTCATCATTGTTTTATTTCTAAGAAATATAAAACTATTCATCATTGTTTTATTTCTAAGAAATATAAAACTATCGAACTGTCAAATCTCCAAAAAATAAAAAAAATAAAATAATAACCATGTATCCTTTTTCCCAATTAGATTTCAAGGGTAAGTTGATGTCGATGATGTTGTTTTCCTAAATTACACGTGGACATGATCATTTATGTGAAATAACAATGATGATCATTTATGTGAAATAATGATGACTCTACATTCGTAGAGACATGAATGACAGTAATCAATCTTTTGTTGTTCATGTTGTTGCGCTGTTGCTTTCCAATTCACTCTCATTTTAATCTTTCAATCATCTTTATCATATATACTATCAATCTAACTCAATTTATTTAGCAAACAAGATTTATGTTAGAAAATCTAAGAATCTTGATCGTTGAGAATAAACACATTATGAGGCATACTCCATCAAATGGTTACACCAATATTACAAACTTTCTTCATAAATTATTTGGTCGCTAGGGTTGACCCAAAATGGTCAAACCTTGTTCAACCCCATTGGAACCATGTTAAGTTGTTAACCCAAACTACCATCCGTGGGTTGGATCCCAAAGGAACACAGTCTTGTCCAATCAGAAAATATATATCGATTAGAATACGACCAATTAGTAGTTGGGG